TTATAATAATGACTATGTTGTGAACGAGTGGCAAGAGATCACCATGATCCCGAATAAAACTTGCATTGGACGCGTTGAAAACAATGGAAGAGTCCTTAATATTTCAAGCCAGCAGAATGTTTTAAAGGATAGAGGTTTAGATATTCTTTTCACACTACAATGGGACGTGGAACCTGCGTCGAGGAATTCAGTTCAATAGATAAAAACTTGTGTAATGATAGTCAATGTTTAATAACAACTCAAGCACTAGTTGATTGTTTAATTAGAATAATTTTATGCTGAAATACTAAAGGGGCCGTTCACTTATGACGTCCAACATTTAGGGGGGGGGGGGGGGGTCTAGGATTTTGTGACAACTCAAATAAAGGAAATTTTTTTCTACAGAAATTTTGTGACAGAGCGGGGGGGGGGGGTCTAGAAAACATGTTTTATATGTACGTCATAAGTGAACGGCCCCAAAGGGATAGTCATGGATATTTGATGAATATTCTACAACACCTTAGAGTCGTCAATTCAACAAAAGAATAACAGTAAACAATATTAAATGTATGGATGTGATATGCACATAGACATCCATTGTAGTATCAACGACATAGTTTTATTGTCAAAAATGATTTACATCCCTTATCAAATCAAAACAAAATCATAAACAATATCTACAAGACAAATGATATGATATAAAGTTTATATTCCTCACTAAAATCATTTTGAAGCAATATAAAAATTAAAAAAAACTTTTGTATTTCTAGATCCATTTAAAAACTATTCAGCAACAAAAGTTCAGAGCACTGCAAAGTCTCACTAAAATCCAAACTTTTTCATCATCTAAAAAATCATTAATGTTGAAACAAAAAAAGGCAACTAGTCTTGAAGCATTGCAAAAAGTTTTCGAATCAGATTTTTTGATTTCTTCCTTTTTAGGCTGTTGGATTAATTAGAGGGTGATTAGATACAGATATACATGAAGGGTTTTTTGATTTCATCAGGCTTAGAGTAACACGTAAAAGTAATTAGACAGGATTGTCTGAATTCTCGATTCAAGAAGGTAAGAATTGATTGATTTTTTAAAGGATTTACTGGCAACAAATTGTTGTTGAGTAATTAATAGCATGTGGACTGAACTGTGGCTTTAAATATTGAAGAAATTGTAATTTCTTAAAACTTTAAGTCCGCTTGGGCTTTTCGCAGTTAATGAGAGTTTAACGAGTGAGGATGCGCCAAATCAATGCACTTAAACCGAGACCTACAATTTACAGTGAGATCCTAACCTCTCCTTTGATGACATTTCTGTCTGTAGTCAACATATGGTAGATATGATTCGAAAAAGGACAAGTGAAAAATCTTCTCATGTCCAGTCTCGAACCCAAGATCGTTGTGTCAGTGTTGCAATAATATGGTTCCAAAGTACTAAATCATTCCACCATCGAGCCACTTCCACTCACACAACAACAGCGCAACAAGAAACCATGCTTAAAAACTGGGTCATAAGAGGACAATCGTCATTTCAAATTAGCTTAAAAAAGATACAACATATATTATTAAGAGCATTAACATCGCAAATGAATCCTGACAGCTTTATGAAACTTTAATGTGAGATTGTTCATTTGAAAGCATCTGCAATTGACATAACAATTTTAAAATTCAAAGGGCAATGGACTTATTCCCATAAATGTAAAATCATCATATCCTACCTTTTTTCCATCCATTTAGTCTATAAATTAATTAGTGTTAGACTTACACAAACAGCTAGAAGCTGAAATTGCTTAATCGACAGGATGTGGGGTTAAACAAATGAAAATCAAAATCAACAAATTTAAATGGCTAGAATCGAAAAATAAAAAAAAAATTTACAAACTTTACTGCGAAAGCTATTAAAATCAGACACAGTTCAACCTTTTGAATAAAACAGCAAGCATTTGACGTAGCATCATTTAAAATTAAAGAGTAAAAACCTTTTAAATCAGACACACGAACCTTTCCAAATCAGACCTTAGAGTATTTTAATTCGTAATTAAAAGCCTGCCGCTTGATGAAAAGACTAATTAGGGAAATATATTGCAGCCAATTGAGCATAAATTTCTTGCTGTATTTACAGTCGTCTTAAGTTCGTTTGAATAATAAGAAAAAATTATGCTGCTTTTTCATCTCTGAATGAAGGCTGAAATTATAAGTATCAACACTTCAATTTAATTAAATGTTTTTCATTTTTATTTTATTCTTGTTAGTCATCACTTCATGTGAGAAATTTCTTTCCTACTTCACTCTTGGGGAAAAAAGAAAGGAAAGAAAAGTTTGTCGACAAAAATGTGGGTGGATAATTTCATTTGAGAGCTCATTTCAGTAGATTTCATTATGTCCTCTGTTGTGCCGTGAAATTATTTAAAGTTCAAGGAAAGGTATCTGTTGAGAGTCATTTTAATCGTATTTGAGTGGGGTCCACCCATTCGATCAGTTTTTAAAATCACTTGAAATGAATAGAATCTGATTAGGTTTTCTTTTGGAGGTTCATATCAATTTGAATCCAGATCTTTATTATTGTAATTTTTTTAATAATTGGTGATGGCTATAAGAATGACTTGGGGCAAAATGCTAGTCAAGGGCAAGGTTTTAAAGAGTTTCTTATGATCATTTAGTGTTATTCGTGTTGGGGATGTTGGGTTCAGAAGTTGTGCATGATTTATGGAATGCCATTTGTGTTTAGCGACATTTTGACAAGAGTCGGCAAATTTGACAAGAGGTGGTTCACTTATTACATTTACTTTTAGGTCTCGAATTTTGCAACAGTCAAAATAGGATGGAGGGAGTTGGAATTGAATTTTATATAAGCTTTTTCTGAAAAATGAAGCCAACTCAATTAAAAAAGTCTCCTTTTAACATCTTCGAATAGCACAAGTCGGTTAATCGAATTTAAATCCAGAACCATGTCAGAGTCACACCAATTTGGTGCCGGATTTCCGATCAATTAATCGACTGGAGCCATTCGGGATCAGCTGTCTTGACAAGCTTGTAAACTTCGTCCTTATTAACAAAGTTGACTGTTCTCCACCGAAGGAGTAAAGTTTGTCGACACAAAAGTACCACAAACTATAGAAACACCCCAATACTTAGCATGAAGATGTACTGAAAAAATAATTATCACACACACACACACACAAACACACATATTCTCCACAATCTAGAAGTCAAAAGAGACAGAAGAGATAAATATTTATACTTTTTATTTTTCCTCATCTTAATCCTTTATTTACAAAAAAATATTTTTTATATTATTTTAAGACTTAACAAAAACAAGAAGAATTTTCATTTTTCTCTCTTTTCTTGGTTGTTTGAGATGAAGAAAAAATAAAAGTTTTTCCCATATCTTATACAAAAAACAAGGAGCTTACATACTTCTCTTCATTGTTTTTGTTATACTTCTTTTTTACACAATAATTTAACAAAATTACATTGCATTTAAATATTCATTAGTTTATTTTCTCTTTATCTGCTTTTCTTTTTTTTCCATACCACATTTTTTAAGAACTAATTATAAAAAATTCGTCCTTTGAGACCATTTTATGTGTCAAAAAGAAATTACTTCTGTATCGTTATCATATTTATTTTCACTTACATATTTTTTTCATACAAGATGTAGACGTCTTGGGATGTGATGGGGATTTATTCATATACATTTGGCTAATTTTTTGGGATGTCTTTTTATGGCTATGAGGATTTATTTAAAAAGTGGGGTGTTATTTTAAGGTTAATCACGTGATGTGATGTCAATAGTTTTACTGGTCAGCAACTTATGCTCAAGCGACTGCAACATAGCGTCAATATGTCGATTTTCTTAGATATTTGCTACGTGGCAGTCATGAGATTGACACGTGGTCATCATATGACAACCATCTGTACAACATGTGGAAGGCTTTTGGTTTTTCACGTGATTTTACTTGAATACCAATTGAATATTCTGACTGACTGGGTCAGATAGTCACAAGAATATTGATTATTGATGATTATGTCGATTTATGTAGAATAGAATCTGTGATCTGGAATTATTTGTAGACCCATGTAGACTTTGACCGATTAAATAGGTAACCGACCAGAAATGTTGAACTTTCTGTTCTTTAAGAGGTGGGTTCGATTCCACCTAGAAGCTAATCTCTCAAATCTTTCATAAAATTCTGTCGATATGATAAGGATTCGAACCATGATCACGACATTACAACTTTGGATACAAATTTAATGAATGAAAGATTTAAAGTTTATTTTTGTGTATCTTACTATGACAGAATGCAGATCTTAAGGTTCCAAAAAAATTTAAATTTCTCAAGGAATCAATAATTTACAGATCATAAAACATATTCCAATTGACCTGGTTAATACATTGCAAATTATCTGCATTTGAAAGGCATTATCTAGCTGTCAAACCAGCATGCTGTACCAAAGATCTACTAACCAACCTTAAAAACAAAATTTTCCAGTATCTTACGTAATTTGAAATTCTATTAGTATCAAAAGAAATTTCAAAAGCTCAACTTGCTAGCTCAAAAAATGATCCAAAAAGAAAAATCTTGGGTTCAAGAAATCACATTAAGAAAAGGAAAAAGGGATTAATGAGCACAAACCTAAACCATCCCAACCGTCTACACCCTGCATTTACCATTTTTTTAAATGTGTTTCTTATTAATTGTATTTTTTTTTGAGATTTTATTTTCATTTTTAATGCAAGTTTTTTTTTTCATTTATATTTTTTTTAAATGTGTAAATACTTTTTTTCATTAATTCGTTTAAAGTTATTCACTAAAACATTGTTTTCATGCTTAACTCATGACATTAGGATTTTTTTTAAACATTTTTTTTTATCTGCGCATTTTTCTCTTTTACAATATTTGAGGCGTAGGTAAGAATAAAAAGTTTTTTTTTATTATTCATTCACAAAAAGAGACAAATTCCTTTAAAAAACAGCAAAATAATTTATAGAGCATCCATTTGCTATGTCACACGAACTGACTCAACTATGAAGGCGTTGCCGTCATCTTTCTCTCATTTCTTAATTTGATTTCTGTTCCGGTAATTAAATTTTGCTGCTGTAGTGAATTTAAAAGTTGTACGACTTAGCTCCCTTTCTTTTACTCTTCTGCAATTTTAGTCAAACTTCTTATGCTGTACTCTGCCATGGATATTAAAAGAGATAACAGAGCACCGGAGCGTAAATTAAAAACTTTTGCTGCGTTAAACTCTTCTTTTCTTCTTCCTTTCTTAATTTTTTTTATATATATATATTTTTTTTTACTTCTTCGTCTTAAAACGGGATAAAGTCATAGGGATGAAAAAGAGCAAGAAAGGAAGAAGAAAAAAAAAAGAATTTTTTTTTTTGGTAAACTTTTTCATTCTCATTTTATTTCCTCAAACTTGTGGTCTATTTCATCCAACACTTTAATGTTAATTTATTTAAGAGGACCCATTAAAATTACATTAACTATTAAAACAAAAAATGATGACAATAAAAGTCCTAATGAGTAATAACTTGAACATAAAAATGTTGTGGCTGACGATGTCACTGCTGATACTGAAGACTCATCTGTATTGTAAAGAAGACAGAAAAATTGTACGATGAGAGCGAAAAAAAATGAATAATAAATTTTGTCATTAATTTATTGCCTTTTTGCGACCAAAAATTATGTTGCGGGACACAACTTTTTAAGCGCAAGGAAGCAAGGAAATAAATTCCCGCCTTTCTTTTTTGAATTATTTCTTTTCTTGCTATGGCAGAAAAGCTAAAAATGAACAATGAACATAAAATTTTATGAACCATACCATTGATGACATTTAGTGTGATTTGAAGTGGATAGGAGTTTGAGGGACTGCAAGAATAATTTCCTGTAATGAAAAAAAAAAAAATGAGAAAAGAGTTGAAAATTATGTTGTAAGAAAAAGTTTTTTTTTTTATGGTTTTCAATGATCCAGATTTGAAAGACTTGCTTCTAAGTTATTGGAAATATTCAAAGCGATTTTTTGGAAACTTATGCAGATTTTTGCTGTGCGGTTCTTCATAGCAATAGCCAGGACGAGTTCTTGAGATACTTTAGGTATCATACCCTGGTTTTGTTAAATAAGTTTTTGATCAGTTTCAATAAGGGGCCGTTCAATTATGATGTCCGAAATTAACGGTCATTTTTCAAAAAACTACAATGGATTTCCAGGAATTTTTATTGTTCTTTTCTGTCTGCCCCCCCCCCCCCTGGACGTCATAAGTGAACGGCCCCTAACATGATAGTCAGGTGGCAAATTATTTCATTTTTCCAGCCATACGACTGCCATTGCTATGATGCACTTAGTTTTGCCTCTTCAAAAACTTTTCTTGATTCCTTTTTGAATTTTGGAGTTAGTTCTAAAGGAACTGACTTAATCGTCTTAAAATGCAGTAAAGTTTCGAGATGCAGTAACCCAGTGATACTATAGGATAGATCTTAGAGCAACCTAAAGCACTCTAATATCAGATTTATTTACAAAGAGGTTCAATATCTTAAGAAATGGCAAATATGTATTCATTCAAGATTAAGCACTTTTGTTGATTGGCAATATACAGCACGATTCCATTCTAGGTCTCATACACGACTGTAAACCAAGGATGTAGAACTGATAAATTACAATTTGATAATTTTTTATCATTTCATTAGTTCCGCACCTTTGCTGTAAACTAGACAGTTAGTGTTTTTAATTACTGAACCGATTTTAAGGTCTACAGGTTGAACATTCGTTACAATAATATATTTCAATTATGGCTCAGGTATGAAACCTCAGAATCTGGACCCTGATCTTAAAATAAGTTCAGTTTCGATACTCAGTTACTGAATATTAGTACAAGTCATTATAATATCAGTACTGAAATCCATAATCTGCACCAATGCATAAAAACACCCCAATTTGCTCAATTTCCGTTAAATATCAGTAAAATGAATTTCAGTCTTCATTTGAAAAACATCGCAAATCCTTTTAAGCTTTCAATTTAAAAGTTAAAGACTTTTTTTCACCCCTCTAGCTCCAAAATATTTTCGAAAAATTAATGCATTAAGAATTTTTCTGCGCGGTAAGCCATAAAATATGTGCCGATGAAAAAAAATAAAATTTTCAATACAAGCATCAAACTTGAAGCTTTTAAAGATTTTGAGCTTTTTTTTTTCAAAATCATTGCTATAGAAATATTAAGTAGGTTGTGAAAGGTTTTGAATTTGTATCTCGAATGTAACTGGAATCGATAAACAGTTACCATGCCATATGTAAAAGACATATTGCGTCAATACAGAACAAAAAAAAATTGCAACTGAGCAACAAAAAAAATTTTTTTTGCGAATTTCTGCCTCAATTGTAATTGATTTTATATAACACTGCCTGTAGCTTAATAACAAAAATATATATTTTGCGTAACATTTCCAATCACAATGTAATATTGTTGAATTTTGTGCTAAGCTCATAAGTAAGCAAAGTCATAACTCGACGATTTCAATAAGTGAATAAGCGTTGAAGCTCGTTCGATTACTTGCTACACGAAAAGCACAAAATTTGCATAAATTTACTCATCGCTCAAAATTGTTTTCCTTCCATTCAGTCTTCTTAATAAGAGTAAAACTTACCCGAGTCACGTTTGTTGACATTGTGTATTATGAGCGATCCAACCTGGACAGAGAACGATATTAACAACAAATTGCAAGCAGCGACAAACAAATGATTTGATAATATTGTGACAAAAAAAAAGAGAAAAGAAGGAAAAGTGAAAATGGAAAGAGAAAGAAAGAAAAATGATTGTTAGTTAAACAGTTCATTAATCAAATTTCGTTTATAGGAGCAGTTATCACACATAATTAATTAATTAGCTAATTGAATGACACACGAAACTGTTAAAGCATTGAAAATAAATTCTCGTTCATGTTTTATTTGAATTGCTGTTAAGGGGGGTTGTTGATAAATGACGACTATCGATTTTTTTAAACAGATTAGCTACCCATGTTCAATAGAGTGTCTTCTAGCTCTAGCTTACATTATATCTGATAGCTATTTCGGGACCACAACTAATGTTCTATGGGGAAGAGTGGTCGATTTCAAATTATTTAATTGAAAAGTGGGAGTCTGATCCCTAACCTATATGGAATCACCATTGCTAGTAGACGATCTTCCCTGATATTGAGAACGATACTGATAAATTGATAGTCATTAGCTTCAATGTAGATATCACTTAATTAAGTTCTAATGAGAATCGAACCCTCGTCCCTAAGAGACAATCAGTTGAATGTCTCTGTCATTTTCTCAGTAAGATATTGGGAAGGTACTTGTCTCTAATCAGCTACTAACCATACACATTTAATCTCTTTAACTGGTAGCCTCATTTTCTGGAAAATCTCCTTAAAAATATGCTCTAATAGTCACATTTAAAACCTATTAAATCAACATCTCTTCCCCCTCACTCTTAAATGATAGACGTCACTAGTAAATGACCCACCAAACAAATGCCTTTATATCTTGTTGAAAGGAGGAACTTACAACATTTGGAATATCACCATCGCTATCGGGCTGTCCGCGATCTAATTTAATTTTCCATTTCTGCTGATTTTCACCTAATAATTGATGTGCATCATGATACCAGATTATGTATGATGGTGGTTCTAAAGCTCCTCGTACCACGCAATGCAAAACCACTGTGCTGCCAGCTTTCACATATCGGTCAGGATCGCCAATTAACTCCGTCCTTGGTACTATAAATAAAGTCAAGCATAAGGAATTTATTAGGATATTTTTGTATGCATGAACAATTCTGAATAATATTTTTCAACTCCATTTTTGAAATTTTAATAAAATTTATTCAATTAATGTGGTTTGGCTGGTCATTGCCAAAATTTTTCATGATGACAAAAAAAAATAGCATGACTGAAAAATTATGCAAAAAATTCACGCTTAGATCATTGAAGTATCACAGAATAATAAACGACAATTATGTGGTATGCAAAAGCGTATTAATGAAATTTTTATGAAAATACCATTATTTGAGGAAGCATATTCTAGCATGAATGATTTAAAATATTTACGCGCGCCATAATACCATATGTGGAGCATTAACAAAACATGACTTCTCTTTTATATACATTCAAATTCATTCCTTTTTTTGTTTCTCTGAATTTTTATTTTATACTATAGCAATACACTTACTAGCTTATAAACATATAGACACACACAATCGTTATCAAAATATGGCATTTTTCCAAAAAAAAAAATTTCACATGCTAAAAAGGAAAATTCATAGGCATCGCGTCATGTTATTAAAATTTCAAATATGTGTTTTATATTTTCTCTCTCTCTCACTCACTGTTCATATACTTTACTTACCAACAACATGCAGATGAACTCGGGCGCTGACTTTTGGTTCTGTAGACACTTGACACTCGTACATCCCGGCGTCACGAGCCTAGAAGGTACAATGAATGTTGTTTTAATGAAGTGTTTTACGATTAACGAGAACAAGGACGGAATAAGAAGCCATTTAGTGCATTAGCATAGCTTACAATGACAAGAACTGGTATTTATTTGGTATTCTCTGTGGAAGCATCAAGGGATGGGAGGTGAGGCTATTATCAGCTATGATTAGTAAGGGGAATGGAAGGGTTGGAGTAGGAATGGGGGACCTTAATGTCATCAAACTTTAAGATTTTCTGGTGTTTTCTTGTCAGTGCTTCTCAAACTATGCTCCGTAGAGCATTCAGCTTCTGATACACAGAGATAAATTACAATTTAATGTTCCCCAGCCTAAAATGTTTGAGAAACACTGCACTTTGTAATGATTTAGAAACAATCTATATTAGGAATCGAACCTCCATCCTAGCAAAACAGAGAATTGCACTATTCCTATCTATTACCAAACCAATAAACCATAGAAGTCTTCAACTCTTCAATAGCAGATTAACCTACATATGGCTTGATAGATTCCAATCTGCTCAGATTCGGCATTAAATTCACATCTACTTACTTGAACGTATTTAATTTGTAGCGTCCATAGGCCAGTGTTTTCAACATAGAACGATTGAAACCGTTCATCTGCTATAAAAGTCATTCTGTTATAATTGTTATTATTTCACAGTCGATTGCAAAAACAGGACATCATCAATGACAAAACCATTAGCATGGAATATGAAATGAAAGGAAAAAAAAGAGAGAGTCATTAGCATACTTTTTTTTCTCGATTTAATTCCATTATGTATATGCATAGAAAATATATTGGCAAAAATAAAATGGAAGTTTCTAAATTATTCCATAGATCGGCCATATTTTCTATGCATTTAAAGTCTCTTGGTGATTAATACATATTTCATATCAACCAACATTGTTTAACTTACCTATCTACAGTCAATATATGGTCGTCTCTGACGCGAACCCATGATACAGATTTATTAATTATTTGCTTTACCTACAATAACAATAACAGTAAATCAATTAATTAATGATAATTAAAAGATTTTTTTTTTTCATCCGAGGGATCTAGCAGCTCTTGTTGTTGTTGTTGTTGTTATGAAGCACTCGGATCTTGTTGCATAGCTTGACTATAAAGGATTCTCTTTTTTATTGTTATGATTATTATGTACAACGCCTCTCATTTTTTTTCTCCTTCTGCTCAATATACAACAGACTATATTCATATTTTGTTGCATTAATAGCATTCAACGATTCAGCGCGGGTTTAATGAATTGAAGAATTATTGTTATTTAAATTAACTTGATGGAGAGAAACCCCGAGAATAAGGGTGGAAAATGAAAGCGAGAGAAATATTCAAATTAACACAATGTACGTACATATTTTATATTGTTGAGTATATTTACGGTGATGGCAATGATCAATTTTATAAATAACAATATATATATGCAGCAACATTATTACTATTACGCTATACAATTTAATATGTATGTGTATCTGACATGCTATGTTTGCGCTTAATGTTGTTGTTTTTTTATTTGCATCATTAGCTTACATCTTTAGCAAATAAGCATTTCACTTTATTATTATAAACATACAAACATATTAACGATAAATCGATATTTTGTAATTTTCTGTTTAAAAAAATATCAACATCAGAGTTTACTTCCTTTGTCGTTCAAGGAAAGTTAATTTCAAGGTCTTTTTCATGTTTCTAAACTTTTTGAAGATATTCTTGGTTCTTGATAGGCAAAATTCTTATATTAGAAAAATTTTAATAACAGCTGTCGACGACATGAAAATGAGAAAATTTCTTCTTTTATCTTATTTTAATAAACGAATTCCTTTAAGTTCAATAAACAACCTTGAATATGGATCTTTTATGTTTTGAAGATATTGTTGTAACTTTGAAGTTTATTTTGGGAAACTTTCGAGTTGAAGAATAAATATTTTGAATTCTTGGGATTTTTCAGTGATGGTTAATAAATGTGCTACGGAACATTACTATGTTGTAAGTTTAATAACAACAATTTTCTAGTATTTCAAAAAATGATTTTTAAGAAGATTTCTAAAATTGTAATTAAAGAAGCTAAAGAAAGAAGCAGGCAAATGGTTCTCAAACTGCGTGCCTTGGCACACTAGGTTGATACCTTATTTGAAAGATTTTTAATGGAACTTTTAAATTTTTTTAAGTTTAAATGATGCAATAAATTTTTTGGCGCAGCGTTTATCAGATACAACTTGATTCCTTCAGCAATCAAAATCATTACAAAACTTGTTAGGAATCTAGTAAGGGGCCGATCACTTAAGATTCCCAAAATTAATGGTCATTTTTAGAAAAGAACAATGGATTTCCAGGAATTTCTATTGTTTTTTTAGCTGACCCCCCCCACCTGGAATTCATAAGTGTTTTTTTTTCAAAAACTTAGTAGTTTTCATAAATTCCAAAAAAATGATATAAAACTTAATTTTTGGGTGAACTTAAGGCACAAATTGTTCAACTCTAAATCTACAGCAAGTTCAGAAGATTATGTTTTAAATTAACCTCCACAAAAAGCTTCGAAAAGTTCATAATGTTGATATAAATATATAAATACACAACGTATTCCTCTAGGCTCAGCATATAGAGAATGAAGACAAACAAAACATTTCCAAGAACACCTTCGGGAAATTTTATTTTTAAGGATTTCTCAGAACTATGGCCACACAAACAACAAACTTTTTTTTTTCACGAGAAGTCAACTTTTCACTTACACTCGGGATTTTGTGGGGAAACAATTTAATTTGGATTTATTTTTAAATTCGTTGTTTATGAAGTTCCATCAAATTTTCTGGAAAATGTAATTAATTTTCAAGGATTTAAAGTTAAAAATCTATGAAAAACAACTACGCGAGTGTATTTTTCTGCAGGTGTTCCAAAGAGATTCCGTCCGTGTCAAGCTATTATTCCAATGATTTTTAAATTTTTGACCTACTTTTGATGTAATTACTTTAAAATGCCTTCTTCTAGGCTTCTTGGATAATAATCCGAGTCAAATTATTTCTGTTTAAACATTTACAAGAGCTGCGAGGTATTTCTAAATGAGGCAAACAAGACAAATGAATTTCGTGGAATTAAAATTGAGAGTTTAATAATATTTAATTGACTTAATATTTTTTAAATGATCCAGGATGAGGTTCTTTTGATATAGACGTGGTAGATGTTTTGAGTTTTTATGAATGACAATTTAGGTTATTAATTAACGATGGTTGGCATTGGATTTAAGTCCCCAAAATCGAGGATCTTAGTTTATGTTTTCATCTCCACTAATCCCTTCCCTCAGATTTATCCTAGTGCATATTTTATGAGTTGGTGTAAGCTTTGGTTCAGGGTAAGGAGTGTGGATATGTTTTTAACGAGAAACTCTCCCCAGGATTTCCAGGAATTCCTGGCTATGCTCCAGATCTGAATGCATTTTAATGTCAATGAGATTCTTCTTAGTTATAGTTAATTTCAACAGACTGTCAACGATTGCATTCATTTTTATACTCCCAGTATTTTTAATTCGACACCCCCGTTTAAAATTGTTGAGCATAACAACAGATGACAACCTCTATTAGCTCCATCTATTTCCCACCATAAAACCTTCACCTCCTGTTTCAACTGAACCCTTATTCACAACTTTTTTTGTAATCATAATAAAACAAATCAACTAAAAAATTACACATAAACTTCAAAATAACGAGAAAATTTTTGGAAGCTACACTGAAGTAATAACATCTAATAAAGGTCCTCAAAGTGACCAAACAATAATAACTTTTAGATATTTTTTTTATTGAGTCAGTAATCTGATAATTTTCCTCCTCATGGTTTTGTTTCATTGTACGACAAACCTTTTTATTACATATTTTTTTCTCTTATACACAGTGTAATAAGAAGCGAGAAAGGCTTTGCCAATGCCAATGATAATCTAATAAAAATGGAAAATCGACTTTTAAAATCCAAATATACATAACTTTATAGCATTGTAATGAAACCAAAAATTTACTATTATTATCATCATTACACTTTAAAGGCAATAAAATAACGACATTCTGCTGATGTGGGTCATTTTCTTTGTGCCATTTCTCAAATCCTATCGAAAAATGAAATCGAAAGATTGAGGGCTCGTTTGGATGTTATGTGATGGTTTTGAGTTTTGTGATGTACCTCCTTCATCCCTTTCCTCTCATCTTTTAATCCCGATCGTCACACATTGAAATATTTACCACTTGTCAGCCGGGTTAATAGTATTATTAGAACAAAGTGGCAGTCGCTTAAAAGCAATTTTTAACTGGACGCCAAGTGGTTGCCATGTGGTGCTAATTATACTATCATCCCGTTCGTCAATTTAAATGAATTTCAATATGTGCCGATCGGGAAGGTAATAACATTTTAAATAAATACATACAGCATCTCTCTTCAACTGTTCCATTCCATCTGAACAAACCCTTGGCTGAAGCGTAGAAGAACGAGAGAGAGGAAATAGGGAAAGCAATGGCAATGGTTAGTATTGCCTCCTGACAAAAAAAAAATCAAGAGAAAAAAAGGTTCAATTTCCCATGGACATTGAAAATAAAAAATATGTGTGTATGGATGTCGAAATGAGAAGTGAGAAGGAATCGAGAAAACGAAAAATCGAAAGAAGAAGAGAGAAAATTGAAAGGAAGAGCGGACATCAGACGGGAAAACTTTTCGATAATTTTTATTCATTTTATTTATGGTTCAGTTTCCTTAATTTAATGATCGGTTTATCGTGTTCATTATTGTGCCATTCTTTATACAGACGCTAGTTCTTCGTCTTCTTCCTTCTCTCACATCTAGAAATGCTTTACGTTGCTGTTGTGTATATAAAACTTTCAGTTATCTTCCTCCTTTTTAGCTCATTTTATTTCCTTTCGTGCCTATCTCATTCGAAAATGCCCCAACGCCATCGCTACAATATTCATCACCACTTAAATGCCTGGCAAAAAATTTATTGCCTAATTATTGCTTTTGGGATTGTTTTTTACTCACATGTCTATTTACGAATGTGGATGGTCGAGGCTAAGAGGATGGCAGAGTGAGTGAGAAGAAACAAAAGAGGATTATACTGTTAGGCTTATCAAAAAATAAAAATAAAGAAGAATGGAATGAAAATGCCTGCTGAATGGAATGTAATATAACCTAACTCATGACAGTTGTTGGATGCATAAGGGGATAGTGTTCGTTTTGTAATCAACATAACGATTACTTCAACATTTTATTTTTCCCAAACGTAACTTTGAGTCATCATTTATAAGCATGACGGTGTGTGCAATGTAAATACTAAAGAATAAAAAGCTGGTATGTGAATTTTGTTATTTCGTGCGGAATGAGAACAATGCGCATTTTTGTAAATCTTATTGAGTGCTTGGCTTTAGTCTCAAGAAGCTTTTATTGTCATTATTTGGGATTTTGAGTTTGATTCAAGGTCTTATTTATTTTCTTAAGGAAAGTGTTTTGGGGTTGTCCGAAAATGATGTTCATTAAATTGCCATTATTGACTGCTTATTGTAAAAAATTACAGAAGTTCTCGTGTTATTTCTGAACGCACCCAGCACGTGTTTTTCATATGAAATAAAAACATCATTAATTAAAGTATAAATGCACCGTTTTAAGACTTTTAACTGTTCGGTCGGTCAATAATTCTATAAAACTGAGCTAATAAAACAAACCCGAGCTCTTTACGAAGCCTGGTTAAAAAGTTTTTCTTGCCCCGAACAGCCGAACAAAGTGTATTATTAAGCTACCTTTTAGAAATCTTCGCGACAAACTTCAGAACCTTAAGACTCCCTTTTCATACTAGATTCAAAAAGGAACTTAATGATGTTTATATTACTGTAGGATGGACGAAAAAGCAACTCTCAATTTGACAATCAATAAATCATCTTGCTCAAAGGAAAGAGCTCACTTCAACGTCATTTATGAACAACTCCTTCCAAAAATCAAAAGCTCAAAGTAAATCATTCAAGATCCCATTGATTCTTGTGTCTATAGATGCAGACATACGAAGATTGTCATATGTCTGTTACTTTGCAGTTTAAAGCTTTCAGCTTAAATTTTTGATAGAAAAAATTCCAAATCCGTTAATGGAAGACTTTTCTAAAAAGCTCCATAAACCAATAACTCCAATTAGAATCTTCCCTTATAATTTCAAGTAATTCCATAAAACTAATATTACAGTAATTTAAAATGCACAAAAGCTGAAAGCTTCTATCGTCCATTCCAGAATAAAAACCCAATATGTAATCCATTTCAGTCAATGCCAAAGCGTACAACAATGGCTATTTCATTAGATATTACGGTTTGAGGAAAAAAGTGGATCGTAAAACAGAGAATTAAATTTTTTTTATGATGCTTCATGCAAATTTTCATGAATCCATAGAATATGTGCATGTGTAGATGTTATATGTTTGTGGTTAAGATGTTAAGGCATACATTTCATTTTCAAATATTATTTTTTTTTGGTTACGCTCAACAAGTCTAGCTGCATTGCAAGTTTTGATAAAAACAATTTTTTTATGCATGAAGAGAAGTGAAGAGTGCTTTTTGGATCATATCAAGTGGTTCAATTGATTGTTTTATGCTGCAATTTTCTAGGATAATGGGAATAGCTTGATGAGAATTTTCTGATGAATTTTGAAAATTGAATTTTGAATATGAAATTTAATCTTGGTAGCTAGTGATTTTGAATGAGTAAGGCTCGGTGGATCAATATTCTTGATATGAAGAATGAGAGTGAGCATATGTCTTGGGTTTTATCAAGGGGGGAAACAACATTATGGAAAATTTCTCTCAAGGGGGAAACAACCTGATGAAAATTTTCATGTCAAGGGAAAAACAACATGATGGGAAATTTTCATGTCAAGGGGAAAACAACATGATGAGAAAAAGTATCGATTCAAAATTCCTATCACAAACTTTTCATGAGCAATGAAAAAATTATCAAATCAAGCTATTTTACCCCTTTGTATCAAATTTAACCTCACTCTCCCATAGCTCCGCGCTAGAATCTTAAACACTAATGAAAAGCAGCTTCATCTTTAATTTTCTCAGCGTAATTCCATTCGATGCAATATAAACGTAATAAAATTGAAATACATGTAGCCAGAGAAACAGCACAAATCTTATAAATACGTATATCTCTCGCCTCAGCAATAAACCATCCGACATTCAATTTTTTCCTCCTTTTTTTTGCCTTCTTCTCTTTCGTGTGTTAGATATTTATTTAGTTTTTCAGCATCAACCACCGAAAAAAAGCCAGAAATGAAAAAAAAAAAGTTTCTAATAAAAGAAGAGAGGAAAAAGGAAAAATAAATGCAAAACCCATAAATTGTGTGCGGATGTAATTTATGGGTATTATACACTCTTTTTTATAGTTTCTTCAGGCTTTTATCTTCCCCTTCTCTTTTGTTTTCTACTAGCTATCTTCACTCTCTATTCCTGCCATCCATTTCCACGCACAAGATTTTGATGGCATAAGGCAGTGAGATGAGAAAATACAGCAGCACTTATTACCAAAGCTTTTTTTTTCATTTCTTTTGTTATTTTTTTTTCACTCGTGCCTGTCTTTTTATTAGAGTTCAGATTTTGACGCTTGTTTAGAGAAGTGAAAGATTTATTAGAATTTTTTTTTTATTTTATTTTCTCTCCATTTCTACTTCTGTCAATGTCATTTGTCTTGTTTGCCATATGAAATTGCTTCTGCTACATATTTGCTGTTTGAAATTCATATTTACCTTGCAAGGAAGATAAGCATGTGTTCCTATTTGTGTCGTGACATTGCTAACAAGACCCCATTTCGGATGTAAGTCGGTGTATGAGTTGTAACTATTTTTTCCTAACGATGATAAACTAATGTCTGCACATATAAAATCTAGAAAGAAAAGAAACAGAATGAGATTCTAGTTTTATTTACAAAAATATCTTGTTCTACATGTTGTAGCATGTAAAAATCGATGTAATGTATGTAAAACTAATAATTTGATTACTTTCCTGTAAGTTCAAGGTTAGAGCGTTCGTGCGGCACTTAAATTAATTCAGTAATTAATTTTAAAAAGCCATTACATTAGAATAATAATTCATGATTTAATTACAAGACGATAATTTATTTTAAATAGCTTCAAAACCAACAAAAATCAGTCGATTGTGTTTTTTCAGGTAGAAAAAATAACGATCGTGATGAAAAGTTGGTTAAAAAAGTTTATTCGAACAAATCAAAAAGTTTGACGTCACTAGGTGACTATGTATATTTATTAATTAAGTATTCTTTGAAATATTAAATGGAACAAAGTTTATGTGCTGAATAATCGTGTTTGAGATTTTTTTAAAGAAAATTTATAAAAAATTCATAATTGGGTTATTTATAGATTTTATTATTTTCACACTTTGAAGCTAGTGAATAACTTACTAGGTGACTAGGTTTTTAAAATTAGTAGCTTCTGACTTAGAGCAATTGGTTTCTTTGCTTGAATCTGTAAATTCGTGTTTATTGAAAAAAAAATGTCGAATTAAAAAATAAAGTTTCATATTCAACGGTTTTGTGAGCCAGCCAACCAACCAGCCAAAGTAGACCTTTAAAGGCATTGTTTCTTAAGAAAAAATGCGCCAAAAACCAGATAGAGTAGCTATAGTCGCGTAGCCAGGGGGGAATTTGGGGGACAACTTAAACAGAAATTTCTTTATTTTGTTAGGGTTTTTATGAAAAATCACAAAAATCCAACCCCCTCCCCCCCTTAAATTTTTCCATACAAAAAATTTTTTTGTCCCCTTCTCTTCAAATTCCTGGCTTCGCCCCTGAGTAGCTACCTTAAAATTAGTATATTTAAGAAAATTATTAATTTTCTTGACATTTCATAATCATTGAATGTCAGTTTTTGAAAAGTCGTCAATTTTGTGGCAGCATTAGACTTCCTGTAAATGCCACACATCATAAGCACAGGTCATCATCAACCGGAAATTAAATCCTTGAATAGATTTTCTTCCCCTTTTAGTTCCATACATAAAAAAATAAGGCAACTCCAATATAAAACCATCCATTTGGAATAAGAAGTTTCGAATCTTTCAGGCAACATCCTGAAAGTATCCTCCATGTGTAGCTTATTTTACTAACAAATGCATAACGATAAAAACTTTTCATATTCGATATATTTTTTCAAATGCGGTTTAAAAGGAAGCTTTTTACGGTCATTGTTGCAGAATGAATAAATGGAAATGTATCAATACGAGATTCATTGCGAGTGACATCGGAAAGTTAAAAAGGAGAAACTTTGTAAGATAAATTTCTTTTTTATTGTCGTAAAAAATGGAAAAGAAATGCGAAAGCTATCATCATAATATATTGAAATTTATAGTAAAGGAATTGAATTGAACGGATAGAGGAAAATGATGGAAAAAATTGAAACTTTCTCGCTTAAAATGGGGAAGAGCATAAATAACAATGTTCCTATATATTCGACGGCAGTTTTCGTTCTTAAACCATTCCGATGCCAAATATTTTTTTTTATTTTCATTATTTTATTTGAATTTATGCCATAAAAATGTTTTCATGGTGAACTTGCGGAAGGGAGGGGACGCCACATTTGCTGTGTTGCTGTGTTATTGAAAGCGCACTTAAACATCAATAATATAATTTATAGTTTTCTTTTCTGTGCATTCCAAATTTAGGTTTTATGTGCCACACATTTCCATTACGATCCACACAACCCGATATTTGCTTTTTCAAATTAAGGAAATGAATGTTTTGTATGTAATCAAACATAATTAGTGAATTATAATTAAAATACAACAACAGAGGCGCAAAAAAAAATCGATAAAGTCGCATTAAATATTAAATGTGGCATCTAATGGCAACTTAAATGAAATTATTTAATTAATTTGGATTAATTATGGAAATTGACGCAGTCTATATTCTATTTACGATATTAAAACGCTGTAGGTATATCCAGGAACATTAAGATACGAAAAAAATATGTACTGTTGGATGTCAGTGGATTGAATAATATAAATTTGTAATTCGTTTACATTTCATTTCTTCAAACTTCATTAGCACGATGTATAATGAGCTGCGTTTGAGGCATAAATATTCATAATATTTTATGCTACTAAATTCATACGATTAGCTCACAGTCAATATATATATTTTTCGTGGGAAAAATAGCTGCGATTGTTATCATATAAATCTACAATTTAATAAATTCTTAATGTGTGGCATAACTTAGCTGTGACGTACCTCGAAGCAGGTGTTTCTATAAAAGATTTCCTACCCATCAGTAATTTCTTTTGTGCGAAGATCCAGAGAATTGTGTGGGATGCGCTGCTAGTCCGCAAATAATTTGACAATTTCCCTCGTGATTGCGCTTGATATATTGCTTGATAATAACGATACAAAGTATTTTCGCTAAAGTACAATAGGTCATTCTCATTGTTTTGTCAAACCACTTATTCAGGAGGGATTAATAAGCAAAATTACTGCTGGAAATAGAAATTCGCAGCAGATGCGACACTCTAGTAATTTTTCTGCATGGGGGGTGTACAGAAGTGATGTCTATTGTGGCAAATCTAGAGATGTGGGTGTATTGACACTTAAGGATGTATATCACATGATTTTCCAGAAATTTTAGTTACAACGAGCTGAAACTCAAGACATTGAGACGTCATTTAAGAACAACCCAAACAAAAAGACTCCCAATTTCATAAAATTGATAGTTTATGGGAAGGTTTAAGTGCTTGGCTATTATCAAGCACTGCGCAATACTAAAGTATGTGAAAATATTGCAATATTCAAATGATAATCCTGTCCAAAATTATGAATATAATATCATTATGCATCGAAATAAACGTGTTATTGGACTAACAATACATCATCAACGCCCATACCATAATTTCCTAATTAATCACAAATATATTTGAATTAGATTCAATTACAAGTCAATCTGTGTAGATATTTATCATATTTCGACACTCAATTCATGCCTTTTCCATTTATTATTTAGATAATTTATTATAAACACACACAAATTGAATGTCAATAAATTAGAATAATTAAGAGCAAACAAGGAACTTAATTTCAATTCTGTGACACAGAAAATCCATCTCACAATTTTCATCGTCTGTCTGTTGGAAGAGGAAGAGTGCACTAAAAATTCCATTAAGAGATTTGAAAGGCTCCCTACCATGATAAATGAAATTATTACATAATGAAGACTATTTGGAATCAAGTCAGAAGGAAATTTTCTTTAAGTATATAAATTTGACAACTTATTGTAGACACAGAGGGTGAGGACGAGAAGAGAAACAGAAACAGAATTGAAATGAATTGAGTTAACTTATTTGTAAAATAAAATACAGTAATGCTATGATAGAATATGCCAAAAAGAGGAGGGAAGTGGGGAGTTGTTCGTAATTGATGTCGGTGTTAAATTGGCTATCGGTTTTTTTGCCGATTTTCGGTAAAAAATCGGGACATATCCCGATTTCAGCTCTGAAAAAGCGGGACCGACCAGGCTTTCAAGCATTTTTTCAAGTGTAGCAGACTAGACTCTGAGTTTTGCTTCTCTTGCTTTTAAAAAACTCGACCTATTCAGATCAATTGTGATTCAGAGGTGCACTAGGGCGTTTCGCAGCTAATAAGAGTTTAACGAGTAAGGATGCGCCAAACCACTGCACTCAAACCTAGACCTACAATTTATAGTGGGATTCGAACCATTCCTTTGCTGACATTTCTGCCTGTAGCCTACAAATGAAGGCTGTGAGCCTCATTTGCAGTACATATGATTCGAAAAAGGACAAGTGAAAAATTTCTCATGCCCAGTCTCGAACTTATGATCGATGTTTCGGTATTGAAATAATTAGGTACCGAAGTACTAAACCATTCCGCCACCGAGCAACTTTAGCTCACTTCTCTTGCTTAAAGATTTTAAAATTCAATGTTTGACTTATTTACCATCCCCGAATAATATTCTTTTCTATCTTAATATTTCATATTTTCAACAGGCTTCTTTTTAACAATGAAGTCGCATTATTTCTTGCCTTATAATTTTCATGTTCCTTCTTTCACAAATGACCATTCCAGATTACATAAATAGGAAGTACAAATTTTCAATTGGATATTTCCTATTTTCATTTTATGAATGCAAAAAACTTAATACTATATAGTTGAAGAAAAGTTTCTTTTTGCTTCGTTCCTTTACGTTATGAAATTTATGAATAAATATAGCATGCTTAATTGAATTTGTATGCGAAAGCCAAAATAGCACAGCAACATAAAAAAATATCATCAAAATTATTGAATAAATAATGTTCTTTTGGCACGTAAATAATATTTTTGCAGCATTTCTTTTCTTGCTTCTTCCTTTCTATTATTCCATAGTATTTTTTATTTTTATTGCAACACTCCGTCATAGAAGGATTATTATTTATATTTTTATCGGTCTGTCTATATGCATAATTTTGTGGTTTAGATGAAATTGTATACATTAAAATAATGAAAGAAAATTATAAGCAAAGTTAAGGGGTTGCTTATTTTGGATTTTCTGATGTCATAATTTCATGTTTGAGTATGCTGATAGCCTCAACATCATTTGGATAGTTTAGTAGTAAATTTTGGATTATGGAACATTCTAGGTAACTAGAGGTGACCTTTGGGAAGTCTAAGCTAGCTTTAGGTAACACAAGACAACACCAGATGACACTATTGAGTACGAAATGACTTCATATGGCCCTAAATGACTGTTTACAATGTACAAACTTTGTCAAAATGTAGCTGAACGTGAGAGTGCAATAAACTTCACTTACATGTGGAATTCACTGTCAAATGGATTAGCTTTAAGTGTAGATGTTCAGTATTAAATATAATTGAAGCTAGGAATAGCATTT